ACGAATTATATTACGACAGGATGCCAGGCTTGAATAGGGCCTCTAACGATGATTTCAGTTTCTAAACAAGAGTAAGCGCTATGGGGTCAAATCAGGATTACGTGACCTACGGTTGGTTGTTTTTGAGATGAGGTACACGTGGTAGGCTTACAGCAAGCTACGTGTGTGATTTACGTCATACCAAATGTATTACTCGTTCCAAAAATATACATTTATATCCCACATATACAGGCGTCCTTTAGGGAAGACCCTGTAAGACATTTTTGCATTTAAGAAGGTTGTACTACATATTATTAATACAGGGTGGGGCATAGAGACCAAGTGTTTTTAAAATGATAATAAAATTGTAAATTTTTACTTTAAAAATTTTCATTGGTAGCACAATATAGGTAAGAACAAAGCATTTTAAGATATTCAGGAATAGAAAATAACAGCTAGCATGTGATGACCGTTTTCATTAACGCATTGCTGAGGTCGTTCTCGAAAATTTACCTCCACTCTTTCCAGTTGATCTCTATTGATTAGACTAACTTCGTGACGAATCGCTTCCTTTAATGCATCTAACGTACCTGGCTTGCTCTCGTAAACACGCGACTTAAGATATCCCCACACAAAAAAATAGGACGTAGATAGGTCAAGGGACCTGCGAGGCCATGAAATGTCACCAAACCGGGAAACAGGCCGCGAAGAACAGCCATAGATGCTCTGGCGGTATGTGCCGTGGCCCCATCTTGCCGAAACTACTAATCTTGCATATCCACACCTCTTCTTTGTAAGGCAGGTATGAAAAAGCTGTTAACCGAATTAATGTAACGATCAGATGTTATAGTAACGGTAACCCCATTTTGTTAAAAAAATATGGTCCAATGACGCCAAATCTTGTCACCGCGCACCAAACTGTTACCTTAGGGCTGTGGAGTGGCTTTTCATGCAATTCTCGCGGATTTTCGAATCTTCGGCGGAAAAGTTGTACTGCAGTCACCGACCCGCAGCTCCTTACAAAACAATGGTAAGCTAATACGCGTTGTTCTAACATCCGTGGCACCATGGTTGCGACTTTGCGACTTTTGAGTCAAGAAATGGATTGTAACATGGTGTACGCCCCTCCACTTTCCAATGGCCACGTACCGTCCAATCTAAAAACACATGGTTTCTATGTCCCACCCTGTATATGAAAGATTAATGTCACATATTTGATGTTTTGTAGCTAGAACCGGCAACATGTAGTTTTAACGCAGTACAATCCTATGATCTATCGGAAACACGCAAAAACAATGGAAAATCGTAGTTATACCTAATTGAAAACTTGCCGTGCAAGGAAAAAAGATGAAAGTCACAGCCGTTGTATGAAAAAAAGATGGGCGTCCACTGATCGTCACCGAATCTAGTAGATACTGCAAGAATTTACCGTACACCAATCTGCGACGAAATAAACGTGAAGTAATCATTTTTGAGCAGTTACCATTAATTTTATTTTGTTTAATCTATGTTCTTTTGAATAGAGCTTTTTTGGTTCGTTGTGTTTTTCTTGTCCCAATAAAAAATACTTAGAAATAATTCTGTGCATGAGCTATTGAGATTCTGTGCCCTGTGTAATAAATTTCCTGTTAAGGTTGTTCTCATATCAGAACAGATCGTGTAATCTAAGATTGCTGGTTAATCAACCCTTATATTTTACAGGGTGTCGCATAGACGGATAGACTCATTTCTAACTTCAATATCTCAAAAAAGTTGAATTCAGGCATGGACGCTAACACATAAAAATGTTTAGTCATACCAAGAATATACAAAAATAAATAGGAGTTTCTATTAAAAAAATGTTTGGTCTGCTTTTACCCACCCTGTACAACGAGACTAGGAGTCTTCGAACGTTCAATTCACTTTTTTCTAAACTTACTTTTTATGACACGTTTTCCCTGTACCCTTCATTTTTAAAGTGTAGGGAGTATTTGCTCGGAAAATAATCTGATTCGTTTTTATTTGTACAATAATCTCTTTCAAATAGGTCGCCTTTTGATGAATCTGCATTTTACCGAGCCCAAAATTAAAGAAACCCCAGAAAATGTTATGTAGGTTTTTTTGGTCATTCTGAATAACATTGGTTCCCACGAACTTTATTCTTAAATTAATAGTTTTCGAAACGAGCAATATTTCTCAAACAGTGAGAAATATGTCATTTTCCACCCAGAAAAACAATTTGGAAAAACGTAAATTTTCATGTTGCTAAAGTTGTTTCCTGAAACACCCATTAACAAAATCACAAAGCATTTTAGAGTATTGTTATTGTAACGCGCACTGAATATATATTCTGCGTGAGGAAGAAAGGTATCAGGTTACCTGTAACTTAGAAAGTTGTCGTACAAATTCCATTAACGTTAAATCCAATAAATCTTATGAGATAGAAATCAAAAAGTATGAAAACAAACAGTTTCGTGTGGAACTTTAAGAAACTGTTCATTTGCGGTCTTGACCACCCTGTATGAACTATCCAGGAAAATGCTTTAGCAATATGAAAAATATAAATAATATTTTACTATTACGGTAAATTCAATACTCTAGCTATTGCTACGTTTGAATGGGCCTATCTCAATCTGCAGCCATAAACTGTAGGTTTTTCTATTTAAAAAAATGTATATTTGGGGCAGCACATAGTTAATAATCACCATATAGATATAAAATTTTTCCGAACTGTATTGACTACAACTATCGAATTAATCTTTTTGAGATAACATGTGTAATAACGAAGCTATCGATCGTGCTCACTCAAAAAGATCACCCTATATGCAAAATTCGAAAACTATTGCAAAGTTACATTAGTTCTGTCCTGTTCTAGTTTTTATACATGTCCCTTGTACCATTATGTAACGCTACAGCTGCAATATTTCACTCCCATGACATGTTCATGTATAATAACAATAAAAGCTAGATGCAATAACTGTAGTCATCTTTTAGAACTGTTATTGTTGTGGTAGTTAAATTTAGAAGAATATTTATGTGTAATGGAAAACGACTTTGAATACCGTCGAGCTGTATTACTATATCCAACCTCCCACTTTCATCTATGCCTCCAACGTACGGCAAAATTTTATGCTTGTTGTTAAAATAACAATTACGGATATGACTGGTGGCTTAGATTGCAAAGGTATGATCGAGGTTGTTGTTGGCACAAGCAAAGTCACAAAATTTTCTCTCTCCCCATTCATTTTTGAATGGCTCATCTTCGTTCAGAGCAACGAATTCAGACACTCGGTAGAAGGAGCTAGTCAAGGATTTGTTTGTCTCCTTATTTTCAAGATCAGTAGTGAGGATCGCACATCAAGTGCACTTGACAGTTCTTTCATCAAATTCATATATTTAGTGTTATTCTTTAAAAGTGAGAGTATTTGCAGATATTTGGGGTGTCAGCGGATTCTAAGACATGGTGCTTCTTACATAATTTACAAATAGTGGCACAAGCCTAATGAAGGTAAATGTTTTCACCGGTAAGTGTTATTATTATGTTGTCACTTTGGTAGGCATTGGTAGACAGATGAGTCAAAAGTATGCACTAAAAATATGCGAAGGAGATAAACAATGCAATGTAAACATATAGGTTTGACACCTTCCGAACTATTCGAATATGTTTGTTTGGGGTGATGACCTGGATGCGTCCCTACTTAACAATATCAATGAGAAAGTGTGGATGCGCCAAAGTGGCTGAACGGAACCGACTGAGATTTCGCATAGAGATAAATCATAGTTTGGCATAGAATATAAATCCCCAACCCTATTTATCCCGTGAAATTACTTTGAAATATCGATGTCGGGGACTACAGCCCAAAGCGCTTAATTGAGTTTGACATTGAGATGTTTGGCATGGAAGTGCTCACTCGCTGGTCCGACCGTAACGAATAAGACTATGTGACTTTGAAGTTGAGTCATTAATTTTCAGATAATGATTGTAGAAGGAAGATAAACCAAAATATGTGTGTAAAAATAAAAAAAATTAAAAAAAAAAATTTACCTTGTTTTATAAAGTATCCTCCCGACAAGTATTTCAGTGCGGACCTGTATTTGATCGTCAGGTCTTGGAGCACCGGCATGCAGTCCCCTGTGAGGTCTTAAGTCACCTGATTCACGAGCCCGTTGTACTACATTAACAAAGGCACGAGGGGTTGGTTGCACTCGATTGGGAAACCGATCCGCATAAACATGTGCCATTTTTTATTTCGTTTGAGCCACGCAACAGATACCACTATTCACTGACACTGACTGTATACAAATGAATGAAATAATTGTAAAAAGCATCGTTCCAAATTCTTTCGCTTTTTTGTTTCCGATGCGATGAACCGATACGGCGGATTATATCCGTTGTCGCCAAACACGACCACATAATATTATTATTGAGACAGGGCGGTACTTCAAACTTCCAAAGGGCTATAACTTTGTTACTTTAATTTTACCAGGAAAATGGTAAAGGAAAAAACATTTCTTTTGATCAGATCTACTCACTGTTAAAATAAATGACTCAACTTCGAAGTCACCCTGTATAAATAGGGCACTTGCATCGGGCATTTAATGCATTTCGACATTTATAATAATAATAAACATCTCTTTATTTGAGCGAGGTTTAGCCTAAGGTAGACCTCCACCTAACACGTACAAAAATAAATACAAACATGAATAAAATAGATGAATGACAATAAGACTGACAATACACCTAAAGTATTATACTTATTTAATGTAATTACACTCACAAATGAAGAAATACTATTTTTATTAGCAGAAGTGAAAGCTAACTATCTTTAATTTTGGCACTGTACGAGTATAAGCAAATTCTTGATATCATTTTTAAAGTTGTCAAATGGCAAAGGTTTACTTTCAGGTCAACTATGAATTGTATTAGATCGCTTTAAAAAGTGAAGCTTTTATGGAAAAATGAAGTTATGTGGATAGGGATGGCGAGTGTACCAGTATTTGGAAGCGAATATAGTATAGTAAGTGATATTTATATAACTTACATTCAACCAACCTAGTTTGTGAAAGGATGTCGAAATATGGTCGTACTTTTTCAAGCTTTCTAGCAAGAATTTTGAACCTTTTACAAGCGTTTTGTAGATAGCGAATCTAAAAATGCACGGTAAACAATATCTTAGTTATGTGATTGTTGAAACGATCAATGATTGGCATAGAATTTTCGTCGTTTTGTAGTCTACAATTTGTTTATTGACGTTTAAAGACTCTTGTTAATATGATTCACATATGGATTAAATAGACACTCGTCAAGAAAAATAACTTTTCAACTGGTTCAAATACCTGAATAATTGCGCCATTCGGATATATGTTTGTATGTCTTTTAATTTATTTCCTTATTTTTTTGTGAGAAAATACGATCACTTTCCATTTTGTAGGTTTTGAACAGAGGTTATGACTTTTTGCGGAATTATCAATAGCCTTTAAATCCCCATTCATTTGATATTCTGCAACTACAATTTTGTCATTATTGAAGTTGTTGTTTCCTTAGATAGTCTAATCATATGAGCAAATTTCTCCGAAATGATTGTAATGTCTGGGTTTATTGCTGCAAGTTGTTCAAGGGGGCATTTAAAATACGGACGCATATAATGGATACACCATTTTTTGTGGGAAAACTTTAAATTCGACAACAAAGAATGAGAAAACGTGTTTTTTGGGATTAAATCGAAAGTGTTGACAGGGACTGAAAACCTTTTTATATAAGATTTTTAGTTTTTTATGAGACCTACAAAATGAGACCACACGTGAAAAGATCTGACTAATAGCAAAAAAATTATGCCCGGAAAACGAGGCAATATGCAGGTTTTGGCACTTGGTGGTAATGCGACGATAATTTCACGCAACTACTTGAAATTCTTCAAATCCGTAGGATTCATACCTCTAACTAACAACATCAAAATTAGAGTGTGTTTGTTGAGTTTTTTGAGAAAACACCTGTTTTGCGGCTATCACTACTTTTTAGATAAATGTTATTTTTTTGTGAAAAACAAAGGTTACGTTTTTTTCTACTAAACAAATTCAAACATTTCGTATTTGCGTGTAATTGAACAAATGCGCTACGATATTCAAAAAACATACATTACTATACACATTTTAAAACAAAGCGGATGTGTCGATCATCTTTTGTTGCGAATTACTCACAAATACGAAATGTTTGAATTTGTTTAGAAGAAAAAACGTAACCCATTCTTTTTTGCATAAAAATAACATTTATCTTCCGGAACGGTTTGCGATTCATATCGTCAAGGTAAACTAGTGTATTTTGCTATAAAATGCCTTTTGAGATAACCCTGTATATTGCTCAATAAACCAGTAGTGATGGTAGGAAAACAGGTGTTTTGGGATAAACAATTAAAAATTTTCAAAAACTACTTGACTAATCTACTCCAATTTTGTTGTGATTATTCAGAAGTATGAATCCAACGAATTTGAGGAATTTCAAGTAGTTGCATGAAATTATCGTCGCACTAGCAACGACTGTCAAAACCTAAAGTTTGCTTTGGTTTTCGGCGATAACTTTTTTGCTATTAGTCGGATCATTTTGTGTGTGGTCTTATTTTGTAGGTCTCATCAGAACCTAAAAATCTTATACGAAGAGTTCTTTGTTTCTGTCAATACTTTCGTTTGAATCCCAAAAAACACGTTATCTCATTTTTTGTTGTCGAATAAAAAGTTTTCCCACAAAAATTGGTGTACCGATTTTATGCTTCCATGTTTTGAATACCCTCTTGAATAACTTGTAGCAATAAATCCAGACTTTACAATTATTTCACAAACCAGTGGTATTTTCGTCTATGATTTAGTCTATTTTTCTTTATTCCAACTCTGTGGATAGTCTAAATTATCTTTCAGATTCTATTCAGTAGTAGTCTATTATATTTTGAAAAATTGTGTTGAATCTTGCAGGACAAACATAGGAAGATAGAAAAGCTGATTGACAATATGATGTTGGTATGCTACTATTTTTTGGTTTTGAACTACAAACCAGTATTAGTTTTAGTCGAAGGATGGAAATTTAATCAAAATAAAGCCCTAGAATCGTACTTAAATAACAATATCAGACATGGTCTTCCAATTTACGAAAATGCCTCGAATTATAGAACTTTCTAGATGCCAATATCTGATAAACTATCTCTCTCTATACCAGTATGATAATATGAAACGTTTTGACTGACATACCTTAACACTCTTGTCTCTTGGTCGGGCCCTAGTATCAAAGCTCTGAAGCTTTCACGTTCTTATTATAGTAGTCCGCTGCCACTGGAACGATAATCAAAAAAGATACATATTTTTACAAGAATTCACATTGATTAGTAAAAGATGTATTTTACTTCTTAAACTTCTCAAAGCGTTGATTTTCGGAAGCTTCCTTGACTTCGATAGCGTATAATATCTCATGACTTCAATAGCCACCTTCTCACCACTGTCAATCATAGTAGGCATTTAGGTAATTAATTCTGTATATGTAGTGTAAGCCGATTGCAACTGATTCTGTATACCATTATGGTGAAAATTACTTGGGATTGAGGTATTAATCGCATAATTGTTATTGAAGTCGGTGCAAATTGGAATTGTAATTACCGCTAAGCCGCAGAATTTTAGTCTAATGAAATGCTGTTGCAGTTCTGCGATTCCCTATATAAAATCGTTACGATTTTGGACGGCATTAATATAAATGCCTAATTGGACAATTATTTCGAAACAAAATTAAGGTGGCAAGGTAAAATTACTCGCATATTAACGGGTACACAGTGGCTCACAACATGTTTAGCAGCAGTGAAATTGAAAACCAGCAGAAACTGTGAATTTATCAGTCTTCTTAATAAAACTATGATGTTCCAATACTGCTCTAGCCTCATATGATTGGTATTTAGGCATCTCTACAATCACACACGTCTTATATAAAGTGATAAATAGGGCAAACAGTGCGCTTATCAAACGCTGAACTAAATGTGTTTGCTTCCTGTCTTAGCAACCGTGACCGCATACAACGTTGTATCCTGCTTATTAGCAATCATCAGCATAATATAGGTCTAGTCACGTGGATACAACAAACAGAAAGCAAGCAAACGGGTATGGTATGTTGAAAAACTCAGTATATTGTGCTCAAAGGAAGAAAACTCTGACAACTGCCACCTACAAATTGGTCGCCAAATTTTGGTACATCTTCGTTCCATACATTGACAGTGACAAAAGACTCTTACACCTTTGGCCTACATACCGTTGATTCTATGACCAATTTGTGAAATACTGTCAGATGTGTTCCAACCTTGAGTCTCGATATCGTACCAGAACCATCCGGTTATCATTTGGTATGCTTTCTACGCATGCGCTGATTGGTCATGATTCCAGAATTGTTTCTGGACTTGAAGATAGCTGGAAGAATTTTGGAATCGTTTTTGTAACTAGGAAATGACAGCTGGCCCATTCGTCACTACTCGTCGCAATGAAAGCTGGAGAATATCAATAAATCATCTATAATATACACAGGCTATCAGACAACGGCTACAGTTTGATTGGAGGTAAGAGGCAATCACCTGACAACTGTCCCACTGCAGAGATCAGTCCATTTTATTCCCCTTTCAATGCAGGTACCGCGTTTACTGTAACAATACCGTTTCGGAACGATCCCATCATTGATTAGAACGAAATTCACAATTGTTCCGTTACCATAGAGAATATGTTGGAATAGTTTTTCCTAAATGCACATGCGTGTCACCATTATAGAACGACTCTCCGTCGGGTTGGAACAAAACTGCCATCAACATGGTCTTGAATTGATATTGTAAAGGTCATAATCAAATAAAATTAAACAACCAGGACTTTTCCGTGCCCTCTTGAGTGATTTTTTTAATTCCTGAACAACAAGTGCAAAATCCATCTCAGTCAAAGTATAAAAATAAGATTATCCTTGAATTGTCCTTATTGGGGATCATGGCCAAAATCTTTCTCCTATTTGGTCGGATAAGTACAATAGGCAGACTCATCATTTTTAGACTAGACTAATCAAAGGGTAACTTTGGTCCAAGGAAAATTTCTGTTCTGGAACGCTAGAAATACATCATGCTCAATTTTTAGACCATATGTTCTGAGCGGGGTCCTTTGTTTCTCATGGATCTATACGTATTACCTCTGGAACAGAAAGCGACCCGTGTTATTCAAACTTTTCGAAAACATGTGTCAATACAACAACTTGAACAAGTAAAAAATCCACGTATTTTAATGAGTTGTGATCGAACGCCAAAAATACAATGAAGAAATGAAATAAGAGACGACAAGTGGTTATTTATGATCACCTGCTGCACCAACTTTTATACTATTTTTACGCGTCTTCTAATCATGTCCAAGGATTATCCTCAAAGGTGTCCTGATTCACAATAACTTTAAGCTGTAACTTATATTTGCATGTGGTGAAGATGGAAAAAACGAGGAATACAATCTCAAAATTCTACGGTCGTCATACCTGATTTGGAATTTATGATTTCAGAAAATTTCGAACAAACAGGTAGGCGTACAGTAAGATCTGTAACATTTGAATTGAAGTACAATTCAAATCAATAGACTTTCTTCAAAAGAAGTTAATCACAAATAAAGCATAGTACCGATAAGTGTGAAATAACGGTAAAAAATAAAGTACAGTTGAACGTTTCCTATGTACAATAAAAACTTATTCAATTACTGAAAACAGCACATAGACAAAATATACAGACCCAAAACTTCTACTAAACGGTTAAAATCTTGTTTAATCTGTTCAATGGCAAGTAGACCACTTCTACTTTCAGCCAGAATCATCAGCCATTTAGCGGCACGGCTACTAAACGCGAGCTGAGATCCATGATGGTTCCGACTAATAGCAGCGGTGCGCGATCCACAATGGTCGATTCTGGTGTGATAGATGGCGCTTCGCACTATGTCATGATTCTACTAAATGGGTAATAAAACACAAGATATTCACTCGGAAAATAGAGTTAAGTAGGTTGACCCTGCACTTCCCACTCAACGTTGTCATCAGTTCTAAGGACTATTCTTACAAGAAAAACATTTAACTGCGAACCTGTATAACACAAAAAAGAACTGAATGGATCAAGTAAACCAAGCAGGCCTATGCAATTAGTTCATAGTGTCACCAAGCTGATAACACTGCGATCTAGAACCTCTTTCCTGCCGTCACTGAAAATATTGACCATCTGGCAACGTCAACCGTGCTATGCTAACCAGCCCGAGCAGCGTGGCAGTGGAGAGATACGCCGGCAGTTACAGACAGGATTTTGTGGGCACCGGAGTTGATAGCGTCGGCAAGTGCGACATAGATGTGACATGTCCATTTGATATTTCTTCAAGTTTTGAGAGTAGTACGGGTAATGATATATGCATTGATAGGTGCGTGGAATTAGCGGGATTGGAAGCTAATGAATTTACCATCGAAAAAAAATTGAGATATACTCCTCTCCGCCCCCTACAACACCCAACATCCCCATAACAGTTTAAAAATTTGGTCTGAATATAATCAGGAGCCTCTAAAATGTCTAAAAAAATGAAGTCTCAGCGATTTTTATTCGGTTTCCGCCTGTAGCTGCGTCGCCAGTGGACCGGTTTTCAAAAACTACAAAGATTTGTCGTCCTTGGCATAGTAGAAGCCTTGCTTGAAAATTTCAACAAAATCCGAGCGGACCTTCCACAATTACAGACGGACCAAGCATTATCGGACAGACAGACCGGCAGACAGACCGATGGAAACGAATGACACGATTTTTCGTCACGTAAATGCCATACAACATCAATACATAATATGTCATAAGTACAGTGAATAAACAGCATTAGATAAATTTATAGAATCTGATCAATGCAAGTACATAATTACACTACAGCGGATCACTAATTAAGTAAGCTCTCTACTGTTTGCCGTGGTTGATTTAGAATGAATTGTAGGGGAAGAGTGCTATACATACACCTCAGAAGCAGTAAATGCATATGAAACTGTACCAACATACTTTTTGAAAAATGTAACGAACTGGTGTTATGGGCATTCAATTATCAAACTCTCCTCAATAAAAAAATTCTTTTTTTTTATTGATAATAACCGATAATAGGTTTTCTTTAAAAGCTTATCTTTTGCGTATAGTAGAGGGAAAAAGTTCTAAAATAAACCAGAATTATTTTGAATAATAAGTCATATGCATTTCAGAAAATGTAACTAAATTTAAAATGAAATTAAACTAAATGTTTTAATTTATTAACCAAAACCATTAGTTATTTTCTTATACCTACATATTTATACTAGTTAGGTAGAACAACGGCAATATTTTTAGCCATGCAGTTAAACGTGATAAATTTGATAGTGATTTCTTATTATAAGTTGCGTATTTCTCTCCATACTCTAACCAGAGTCCGACTACACTGACGAAGGACTTTGCACGTACATTGCAATGAACAAATTACAGATTAAAGGCACAGAGCGCAGCGCAGGGCGTATGGTTCGGAAATTTCGAAATTCAGATACATGACAATCGGCATTGTGCAAAATACTTATTGATTATTAGGTTTCCCAATTTCCTGGGCAATTTTCTTGATTTTCTTTCCATAAGAGCCTTCTATGCAGTATTAAGAAACTTTTGAAAAAAAGATGTTTGATATCGGTAAAGTCGTTCTCTAGTTATGGCGTGCCACGGGAAATAGGGATTCATTTTTATTTACTACTGTGATCAAAAAGTAAGGTGAAATTGTTTTATAAAATGTAAATTCTTCATTTATGCTTCAAAACAATTTCATCCCCTGCAAAGTAATCCCCGACGATAAAACGCACTTCTGCCAACGCTTTTCCAGTCCTCAAAACAGTCGGAATAGACTTTTTCCGGTATAGATTCGGTTTTTATCTCCTCAATCGTGTCAAACGGCGTCTCCGCATTGGCCTTTTGAGGTTGCTGAATAGCCAGAAGTCGCACGGAGCCAAATCGAGCGAATACGGTGGTTGCGGAACGATATGAGTCGAGTTTTTTGGCAAAAAAAAGTCGCGAGGAACCAATGCAGTATGACATGGTGCATTATCGGGATCAAGGAACCAAGAGTGTTCGCCTTTAATTCCGGCCGTCTCAGACGAATAGCTTCACGCTAACATCGCATAGTTACCTACCAATAGGGAAAAGAATTTACCCTGCCTCCCTACTGCCCGGGGTTCTAAATGATAATTTCACCTTAATTTCTGATCAGAGTACCTAAGTATCTAAGTGACATATAAATCCGAACACCCAGTTGGTTTTTATTTTAATAAAATTTTGTATAAGTACTTAATGAAGCATAAAAGTAATGATAAAAAATTTCAAATGATTGCACTGCTTTTAATAGCCCTTTGACCTTTAATAATGTGTGGATGCAACCTGATGTGCTAGATTCTCCTAACGCGCCTAGGCATGCTTCTGATCAGGGTGGTCAATGTCCTCCTGAGGTATCTCATTCCAGGCAACCACCAACTCCTCTCGAAGTG